AATCCTAATAGATTGTATTTTCAACCAAAAGATCATAATCTATGTGATATTATGAAATATTATGCAATTTTAGTCGTTCCATGTAGTTATACGGATATTCATTATTACTATTTTTACACAAAATTTATTTGCACAATTAAAATACATTGACATTCCTCTGACATAAGCAGTTAAAGTAAGAATCTACCAAGTCACATTACAGCAGCAATGTACATAGACACTATTGAAAAATACTAAATAATAAATATATTGCATAATCCCCCTATAAATCTTTTAGTTTTGATTACCATTACACAATTGAATTGATATTTTTAAGAGAGATTGTCCTCTTTCTAGGTCAGGAAATACTGTCTTACTTATCTGATTAATATGATCCTTGGGCTATTTAGTTTTCATTATTTATAAAAGTTGAGACTTATTTCGAGTAGTACCAAAAAATATGAGAAATAACACGTCAAACAATCCCCTCAGTCTGTTAGGAGTGTGACAAAAAATTTCATCATATATAATCTCTATTTTTTTACGAAAAACCCCCATTTTCAAATAACCCTAGAATTTGAAAAGCATTTTTTATGAATATCCGTTTAAATCCTTTTATCTATTAGTAGCTATACTACTAAGGATGACCCTAATTTCATTAAATCGTCGAAGTGGCAGAGTACAAAAGGCATAAAGAGATCTTTCTTGGTTGATTTATACAAGAGGACAAATTGAATGTAAAGAGGGTGTTTTTAGGTCCACGTATATTTTAGCTGCATGGAACTGCCAGTATTGTGAATTAATATTGGCTATCTTTTGTACAAACAAAGGCTGGCAAATAAACTGAATATAAGGAATGTCTAGCAAAGTTCCTTTGTTTGATAGCAGATGCCAGGATGACACCCTCCTATTCCCTTATATATCTCAACTTTAGGCAGAGACATCATATATGTTTAAGCTTTATATACCAGGAATATAAATAGTATGAGATTCACAGCGAATAGATATATATCACGGTGCACTTATTGCTGACAATTACTTTCTTTTTTTTAATGTTTACTGTCAAGTAACCCCCTATCAATCCCTTGCAGTAGATGTTACTCCCATACCTTCTATTAAGTAGAAGAACTGATCTTCTCGTAACCTATGTATGGCATTATATGCACTAACAACCAAATATAGGGGATACAAATGCTTAACATACTATTAACTCATGCAGTAATTATCAAATTATACCGATGAATAGGCTGAGCGATATCTTACTTCAAACATTTTTCTCAGCTTAGTTATCATACACATAGCAACTATTAATGTCATCAGTGTGTAGGCCTCCGAATCGCTGTTATTAGCAAAAGATCGATCTTGGGATAAGAATATAACAATCAAAATAGTATTATAAAATTCTGAATGAAAAGGAAATACCATGGTACTTTTTGTTATAAAGCAAGTTTATTATATATTTAAAGATATTTAGCCATTTGGGCCCAAATTAGCCTGACAAAAAATGTGTTTTATTTTCCACTTTTACTTATAATAAAGACAGTGCTTTGGTTATTTTTTACCTTAAATAATTATATTTTATTCCGCTCAAAAGGATATAAATAAATGCAGTACTTTATTTTTCAAGTATTCAAATTATTTCACGCCTTATTGAATCAGAGCTT